GTGCGCAAGATACTTAAGAGACAATCGAACTAAAGATAGTCCTCACAATGCGCAAGTATGCGCGATACTAATAAAAGAATCGAACTAAAGAGAATTCTCAAAATGCCCGCGATACTAACGACACATAGAACGAAAGGAGATCCTCAGAGTGCGCGAAATACTAGCGAAAAACAATCGAATCGAAGAGAATCCCGAAAGTGCTCGAGATACTAAAGAAACAATCGAATGAATGAGAATGCTGAGAGTGCGCAAGATACTAACGAAACAATCGCACTGAAGAAAATCCTCAGAGTGCGCAAGATAGGAACAAAGCAAACGAAGTAAGATAATCCTCGGAGTATCGGGAGCACGAAATACTAACGAGATAATCGAACTTAATTCGCCTCAAAATGCGCAAGATTCTAACCAAACAATCATTATAGAGAAAATCCTCAGAGTGTGCGCAATAATAATAAAACAATGGAACAGAAAGGAATCCTCAAAGTGCGCGAGATACTAACGATAAACAATCGATCTTAAGAGAATTCTATAAGTAAGCGATAAAATAACGAAACAATCAAAAGAAAGAGAATCATCAGAGTGCATGAGATACTAACGTGACAATCTCACCAAGAGAAAACTAAGAGTGGGTGAGATTCTAACGAGACAGTCGGAATAGAGAAAATCCAAGAAGTGCGTGCAATAATAATGAAACGATTGAATGAAAAGATTACTAAGAGTGCGCTAGATATACTAACAAAACAATCGGACTGTAGAGAACCCTCTGAGTGCGTGAGGAACTAACGAAAAAACAATCGGACCAACTATAATCTTCAGAGTGCCCGAGATACTAACGAAACAATCGAACTAAAGAAGATCCTCAATCCACAACTGTTTAGTTCGAAATTATCGAACTAAAGAAGTATCTCAGAGTGCACGAGATGCCGACAGAACAATCGATTTGAAGAGAGTACGTAAAGTGCGCGAGATAATGACGCATTATTTGAAAAAGAATTTAATCAGAGTTCGCGAGATACTGACGAGATAATCGATTTAAAGAGCATTCTGAGAGTGTGCGAGATGAAAATGAAAATAATGGGCACGAGAACATCCTTAACTGTAATCCAATTAAATTCTTGTCACCTTTTATGACTAATGTGGGAGTCTCATTGTAATTTTTTGCCATTTATGTTGAGTCTATACAGTACATGTACTGAGTTTCTAAAAAACTCCCAAAAAGGAAAATGTTACAGCACATTGAGTCTGAAATTTTCTTGACATTGTAAACATCATTAATACAAAGAACTGATAATTATATTACAAAAATAATGTATAGCAACCAATATTCTTATTTTTAGCTTTTTTTTATTTAGGAACAAAGTACAGATTAAAATTATTAGAAGTGTGACTGGATTTGACCTTTTACATTAATGTAAACATAAGCATTTGGTGTGACTTTTACATTAAATGCTTCAGCCTTCTGAATTTGCACAGGAACCTGATTGTTTCTTGGCCCCCCGATTTCAAGGCTGGGAACGCTTTAGTTTGGCCAGTGGCGGAAGAAAGGTTGTGCATCATCAATTAGAGAACTATTTTCTCATTTCTTGAGTAAATTGGAATATTTTTTGTCAACTCTTCTCTATTCTAACCCATCCCGGTTCTTTCATGGTTTACTAAAACGTCTCCTCTAGCAGGGAGAAGAAGAACTTCTGGGAACCTACTCACTTCTGGAAGGCATCAATATCAAAATCAATATACACCTTATTAGAAGTTTTGGTGCGTAGTATCACTGAGTATTTTTACTCGTTGTTTGTATACGGGCTCATCAAAATACGGCACAACTCGTCAAAATGCTCAGCAATACTACACACCAAAACGTCTAATAAGTTATTTTTTGTCCGACTGCTTTTTTCTGCTAAGTCTTTCCGCTCATTTCTCATAAGGCGGGAAAGGCAAAGCGGATAGAGAAGCGTAGCGCGCACAGGCGACTGGTTAAACAGGTTCTTTTACAGTAAAAAATAACTAACTGTCCAAATAACCGTACAATATCGCAGGATATTTGTACTCTATTCAAGCGTTACTTGTACTCTACTATGTGCAGTTGTATAATAAGTTCACATCTCTTGATTGCGCATATAGGGCCGTAATGCGACAGAAAATGAGACAATTCCGCTTGACGAAATTAGTGACAAACGAATACCTGAAGCAGTTTGAAAATTACCATATGTTGGTTGAATATGGTGAAGATTGATTCTTTCATTCACAAGATTGATATTGCCACTTTTTAGTTCTGCGCCAACACTCATTAGAAAAGAGTGAGAGATAATTTTATCTTAAAACAACTCCAGAGTTTTTAAATTTGTCGCAATATAAAATCTATAGCAATCTAATGCGGATCTCACAAAGGGCGGTGGAAGAAGCCGAAATAAGCGCTTCAGTACGAGAACTTGTCCGCCCACGAGGTGCTTCTTTAAAGGGGGCACAATAAAGTTACGACATCTAGTGTTTCTTGAGTGGAAGTCAAAGTTTGCTCTTAGAGCCGGTTGTATTTATGTATTTGGGTGAGATTCCACTATTTTTTTGTCTTTTTGTGATAAGCAACGTAAGCCGCCAAGTGGTCTGCAATACAGTGTTAGATCATACCAACACAGTCACGGATAATCAGTAAATTCAATAGGCACTACGCGGTATAAATAGAAGCGGTGGCTAACTAAAAGGAATTTAATGAACCTTCGAAGTCGTGATTAAAAAGAAACAAGAGTATGGTTGTTTTGTTCCGTTAAGATGTTTTAATGGTGAAATTCCCGGAAATTATGTAAACAAGGCCCACGATGGACACTGACCAAATTGACGTCACTAGCTGCCAAAAAGGCTGTGAGTGGTCTGGCAATATAGTGCCAGATCTTACCGGTCCAGTCGTGGGTGATTCAGTAAGACAATACACACTGTAAATAAGGGCCGCGGTTTGCTAAAAGAAATTCGATGAAATTTTGAGGTCGGTTATGAAAAGAAACACAGATCAATATGGATTAAGTTCCGTTGAGAAGTTAAAAATAATTAATTCCCCAAACTATGCACTCAAGGCTCAAAGCAGCACACTAACTTTTTTTTTGTTTTGCGGAAAACCCAAATATCTGTTGATCCCGTTTTTAAGGAAACTTTAAATTGAACCACAGTTGTAACAACAATAAATTTCAAAGAGATTTCTAAATGCAACGTTACATATCAGTACATAGTTTCCTACCGTTTTAGGGTGGGTTAGATTTATTTCGATTCAAAATGCTATCTATAGGCTTGACACTGGAACGCAGTGCCATTTGTTACTTAATTTACATCCCCTTTTACTCCATGCTCCCTTCCGTGCTTTTTCGAGACATCAGAATTATAAACTCGCGGCATACATACCTAATATAAGAGAGGAGACTTTGTTTTTCGTATTTCATATAATGCTGAGTTACGGTGGCCGTCGTAACTTTCAGAGAGAAAAATTCAGAACACTGCGGAATATTATGGGTTTAGTGCACTCCATAATAGACTGTGCTGGAGGAGAGAATCTGGAGAGTGAATAGTGACTGTTAGAGGGAAATAATTGACATAAAAGAGTTAAAAAAACAGGGATTCAAACTCTTTGAATTAGCTTCAGGATTCCCCAGATCGCCCTTGAAATATTGTTCGCGTCCTCAGTATCCCTGAACGACTTTAAAGAAATAATTTTAGGTCGTATTCGCAATTCCTCTTGGCCAAAGACAATTTTCGGATTTTTGTTGGATCTTAGAAGCTGTCAACGGCTCATGAGTAAGTTGAAATATGTCTGTCTCATGGCCTGATAAGGGAGATAAAAGTCCAACATCCGTTTTAAAGGAACTCAAGGAGGCTCAGAACGCTGTTTAACTACGGATTGATGGATAAATGGCTTGATGGGTTTTAAATGGCCAGTCTGATTATGGCATCCAATAAATTTCCAGTCTCGGGGCTGTACAGGTTAAGATCGTCAAGATATAATTGAGTTGCCACAATTACACCACAGCTTACAGAAACACCCTGAACTCTGGACTAATGTGTCAGCAACTCAAAAATAAGCTCGTTCACCCTTTCTTATCATTGTCCAGCAAGCGGTATTTTGGTTAGTGAATGACAGCAAGAAGCTTTTTTCTGCTTTGACCGTGTCAGTGACATATTATTGCCAATGATAAAGTACAAAATTAAGCCACATTTTCTGTAAGTAGGTATACAATGCGAGCACAACGAGTAATGAGCAGTATTCAGTAAACCTGAAAAATACAGAACCTTGTGATCACGTTTCTCATGTCCAAATTAGGCGAAACTATTTATTTTTCAGTCGGTTTGGTTTTTAATTACTATTTATAGGAGAACTATATTGCATTATCAGGTAAAGTGGATCGATACGTGATTCTTACGTGCTGGTTGGCTGTAATATGAATAATATGTAATATAAAAATGATTTTACTTCTAACTGCTACTCAAGAGTGAGCTATATTGCGTGATAAGAAAAACAAAGGTCGATACTTCACCGAATTAACGTGATTTCCACTCGTTGGCTGGCTTTCAACTCGACGGTTAGTTCGGCTTGATATCATAATTATGAACCAGACATATGACTTCCTGCTCATTGCTTTTGTTTGCCATCATCTGCGTCTTAAAAAGTAAAACATCCTTGATGTTTTGTGCGTTCAATATCAGCATTGAAGTGTTAGACGTGCGGTGACGTTTGCTTTGTGTTATATTGACCAGTTGTCAATATCCACGATATGGTACTGATTACCCAAAAATTCTCTTTTTGATTGGTTGTTCAGTCTTATTTGTTTGGCATGGATGTCAGAGGGATTTATCATACCTGGTCATCAGGGAAGTCCATATATAAATTCTTAGTCAACCTGTGGGATCCTATCGGATTTAGATTTTCTTGAACGTGTCTCGCACGAGTTAGCCGGGGTCTAAGCTTGTTTAGAAACAAACTCCTTCGCAGAGTGCTAATAGTAGTTGGTGTAGCCAGCAAAGCCATGAAAAAATCGACCATGACCATGAGGTTACTCTTCCTCTTAATGATAGAATGTTTCTTGCACCAAGTAAAGGGCCGACAGTGTAGCACGACTGGCACCAAGGGAATAGCTCCCTGCCAGTGCAACTTTATGGATGCCTGTGATGCACAAGGAAACCCGAAACCCAACTTAGCACAATACTTGCCAAAAGGTGTGGATCGGTTCGGGTTTTTCGAGCAAGGACGACGAAACCTGGCGTATTTGTGTGAAGGTGGTAATGCGGTGGGCATTCTGTACGACTGCAATAATCGAATTCCTCTCTATGCAGCCACCGTGATAAATGGGGCCCAGTTATCAGGAAAGAGCCTCGGGGGTCGACCAAGCATTAAATTTTCTCAAAGCACCTTACTCCGAACGGAATTTCAACAAAAGAATGCAGATTACGTACGCGCTACAAAGCGAGAACTTTGCTATAAACGAAAAGGAAAACAACAACAACAAGACAAGTACGTCGTCGACGAGAACTGGTTAAAAGCAAGTGGATTTAGAAAACGTCTCAGGAATGATGACTGTCCTAAACCACCGCTGTTCAAAACAGCAGTTCACCGCGGGCACTTGATTGCCTCACAATACGGCCGCAACAACCAAGCGAAGAAAAGAGCAACTTTCACATACACTAATGCTGTCCCTCAGTTTGGACTGTTCAATTCGCAGCCTTGGCAAGTCTGTGAGAGCCAACTCATCACATGGGGAAATCAAAACTGTGCTCAGGTCAGAGGAGCAACGAATGTTCAGTTATTTATCGTAGTTGGTGCTATCCCATCGACAGTGCGTCAATCGAAGGATTGGCGATATTTTGGCAAAGGGGGATTCAGCGACTTCGAAGACACCAAAGGCGATTACCGGGTGAACGTGCCTAGAGATTTGTGGACTGCTGCCTGCTGTACTTACAAACATCAAGGATCGTTGAAATATCGCAGCACGGCCTTCTGGAGAGAGAACAATCCGGGAAACGCGCCATGTAAAAGAACAGACGTGGGCGGCTTGACGAGAGAGTTGTCCAAACGGATTTCCCGTGGGACTGTGAGTTTCAATCTATTTCCGACTACATCCGAGTGCAACTGGAAGGCAAATTATATCCGTCTGCCGTGACACAGAAACCTGTCTCAGCCACCATAGATAATGAAAGGTCGTTGAGGGCGTAGAGTTTATAATTTCAACAAGGAACTGTAAATCTTTTTTTTTTTTTTTTAATCGATGTTAAGTTCATTAAGACTTAAAAAACTCCGAGGCTTGTAATCATGGGCTCACTCGAGTTCACATGGAAGCTTCCCTTTACAGACTAGCTTTTTGAACTAAGTATTGAGTAAGAACACCATTTTGGCGGTTCTATTTTGATTGTTAACAACGGCTTTCTTAGATTGCATTAGTATCAATTCTCTCTGACCTAAATTTAAATTTAATAAACGAAACGATTAATAGATTTTTGATAAAATAAAGTACATCAGCAATATTTATTGCTACTTAAATACTGAAATACTGCTGTCAGCTTGTCCAACAGAAAAGTAGAGGCGCGGGCGAAAATGCCGAAAGCTCTTCCAGGTTTTTCAACTGAACTCTTGGCATATCCCTATAGTCCATTTTTATGATTGCTGTGGTGATTATGGAGATGTGCACGCTGTGATTGGTCGAGGATTGCGTTATATCTCGCTGTAATCGTCTCGCGCGGGGTGATTACAGCAGGGGCGCCAAATTTCAAAATGGCTGCCTTGCATTTTATCAATGTTAGGCAGGAAGTGACGGCCGCAAAATAAGAAAATACAATTCAAAGAAAACAAAAAATGCTACTAACTTTGGCGTAACACTTTTTAAAAGAAACATTGAAGTTTCTGCTGATTGATTTAAACAAACCTGTTAAATTCCAGTGGAAACTGACTGCTTATCTTAGAGTGTACAAGATACTAACGAAAAAAAGAAGAAGTAGGAGAACCCTAAGAGTACGTGAGTTACTAACAAAACAATCGAATGAAAAAGAATCCTCAGAGAGCGCCTGCTTCTTACGAGATAATCGAAAGAGAATCCCATGAGTGCTTGAGATGTCAATAAAACAAATGATTTAAGAGAATCTTCAGAGGTGCAAGATAACTAAGAAAAATTCCAATAACACAAACTAACGAAAGAGAACCCCAAAAATAAGCGGGATACTTGCGAAACAATAGAATGAAGGAAACTCCTCAATGTGTGGAAGATATCAACGAAAAAAGAAAACGAGCCAAAGAGAACCATAAAGGTGCACAAGATTTTAACACAATGATCGAACGAGAACGACTCCCCAGAGAGCGCCAGATACAAAAGAATCACTCGAACCAAAAAGAATCCTAAGAGTGCGCGAGATACCAGCAAAACACTAAATAAAGTTCTTAGAGTAAGCAAGAAACTAACAAAATAATCCAGTGGAAGAAAATCCTCAGGGTGCACGACATACTAACGAAAGAATCGGACTAATGAGAATCTTAATGAGAATGTGCGATATATTGACGAAACAATCCCACGAAAAAGAATCCTCAAAGTGAGTGAGATACTAACGAAACAAGTAACTGACAGAGAATATTCGGAGTGCGCGAGATACTATCTAAATTATTGGACTAAGGAGAATTTTGAGAACGTAAGAGATACTAACTATTCAATAGATGAGAGATAGATCTTAGAATGTGTGAGATACTAACGAAACCAACGAATGAAATAGAATCCTTAGAAAGCGCCGCATACTCACGAAACGATCTAACTCTTAAGAAAATCTTAAGAGTTCGTGAAATATTAACAGAACAATCGAATGCAAAAGAATCCGCAGTGAGCTTAAAATACTTAAGAAAAAAATCAATAAAAGAGGATCCTTAGAGAGCGATCTTAAGAAAACTCAAAGAGTACGCGAGATACTAACAAAACAATTGAATGACAATCAACCCTCAGAGTGCGCATAATACTCACGAAAGAAACGAACCAAAGAGAACCTTATAAATGCGCGAGATATTAACGAAACGATCCAATGAAAGAGAATCATCAGAATGCGCAAGATACTAACCAAACAAGCGCACTAAAGATTATCCTAGGAGTGCCATAAATATTAACAAAAAATCTAATAACGCACAATCCTCAGAGACCGCCAAATGGTCTTCAAACAATCGAACTAATGAGAATCCTTACAGTGCACTACTTCGATTCTAACGAAACAATCTAATGAAAGAGAGTCCTCAGAGTGCGCAAGATACAAACGAAACGCTCGAGCTTAAAAGAGAATCCTCAAAGTGTCCCAGATACTAACGAACTATCCAATGAATTCTCAGACTGCACAAGATACCAACGAAACAAACAAACCAACAAATAATCCAATGAAAGCAAATCCTAGGAGGGCACGAGCTACTAACGAAACAATCAAACTAAAGAGAATCCTCCGAGAGCGCGAGATACTAACGAAACAATATGATAAAAATGAATTCTCAGAGTGCCGAGATACTAACGAAACAATGCAACGAAAAAAAATCCTCAGGGTGCATGAGGTACTAACAAAACAGTCCAATGAAAAAGAGTTCTCAGATTGCCGAGATTCTAACGAAACAATGCAATAAAAAAGAATCATCAGAGTGCGCTAGATACTGACCAAACAATCCAATGAAAAAGAATCCTTAGAGTGCGCTACATACTGACCAAACCATCCAATGAAAAAGAATCCTCAGAGAGCCGGGATACTAACGAAACAATACAATGAAATAACTAAAGAGAATCCTTAAAGTATCCCAGATAAAGGAAAAATCAAACTTAAGGTAATCCTAACAGTGTGCAAGATACTGACGCAACAACGGAACTGAAGAGAATCCACAGAATGCGCAAGATACTTAAGAAATAATTGAAGTTACGCGAATCCAAATTGTGCGCGAGATACTAACGAAACAATCGAATGAAAGAGAATCTAAGAGTGCACGAGATTCTCCTGAAACAATCGAACTAATCGAAATTAGAGTAAACGAGAAACTAACTAAACAATCGAAAGAAAGAAAATTCGCTTGGAGTGTGAGAATTACTTACGAAGCAATCGGTTAAAAGAGAATCCTGAATGCGCATAAGATACCAACGAAAGAGTTAAATTTAAGAGAATTCTAAGAATGTGCGTCTGAATTTAAATCGGTCACTTAAATTGATAAAATGAATTAAAAGAGAATTCTCCCATATCACATGCCATATGAATACCCTAGATTACTTACACACATTGCATTGTTATGACAAATTTTCACTTAAATCTGTTCAGGTGTATTTCACCAATGTGTATAGGAAATCGTATGAACGCGAGTGCATTTCGTGATTTATGGGCACGAGTG